CTCTTGCGGTATGATTTTTTCATCGTCAGGTCAAAACTTTGGACATTTGCTGTTATGTTAAACTTATATTAAAGTTTTTCTTCATTACCCATTCAAGCCGTCTTCAGCCATTATTAGTCTCAAAAGTGGTTCCTCGTCATCGAATTTGTACTCCCAGTAATATATATCGAGGTTCGACCAGCTTATGCAACTTAGGTGAGTCCTAAATATATACTTGAGCTAACAATGTAAAATAATCCTCATAAAAATAACTAAATGATTATTAAACAATTTACTCAATACTTTTTACGAAACAAATAGTAAAGCAAAAGTGGAACACATAAAGTTAGCTCTCTGCTTCAAGCACTGTCATCTATTTTTCGTACCTTGAAAAGCCTTAGATATTACAAGATGTAGCAAAGAATAAATAACTGACCTAAAACTGTCACAAATGTTCTATATTAGGTCAAACATCACAAGTTTATCAGAGCCAGGACTTTTTTTTTTATCTGCCTTACTATTTCTCATGCTAATATAATTTTTCTAACTAAAGAAGATTGAAATTGTAGCTTTAAAAAAGTTTTTCGTTGAATTTTTTGGAAAACTAATTCTGATGAACATAATTACAATTTCTGAATAATAAAGGCTAAGGGTTTTTACAATTTTTAGAAACTTAATCTTTCTGAAGTCGTTAGGTGCCATTTATAATTTTCTAGCATTTATATTTCTTTATTTTCCGGTGTAAAATAATAAAGATTTAAACTGAAATCTTTGAATAATTTCTCAGTAAAATCTGATATTTAGAGCAACACATTTCTAACAGATCCTTTAACATTACCTGTACATTATTGTGGCACTATTATGACTTTGATTTTAAATAATTTATGAACCTCAGTTTGTTTACCTCCGTAACCATAGACACAAGACACAGTAAGCCAAGCTATCGCTAGAGCCCAGATAGTCCGATGAGTGGCAGCATAAAGAACAACGGCTGCACGGCTAGTTTCTTCCCCTCTGTTCCAGTCGTACGTCCCGTACAATACCAACATCAATCCTGCCATCGAAAGTAGCCAACCCAACGCTTGTTGAAACTTCATTAAGCAAAAATATAAATACTTGTTTTATTTGTTGGCTTGGATAACTTATATACTATATCTAATACAAGGGGAACACTTACCACTTGGGCCCCCGTATACTTTAATAGGCTTACGACTGTCCACTTTGAATTGCTTTTTATGTCGAAATTTTAAACTTAATGTGGGTTAAATATAATGAATGAAAAAGATAAGATACATATAAATTAACGTAAACAATAGATGTTCAGGTGAGGTGGCTCCTATTGATTTCATCATTATTGTCTTTTTTTCCCTGATTTTCATCTTATATTGACTCTCACTGAATCGAAATAGGCCCAAATTACCTCTTTAACTGTAAATATTTTTCTGTGGAGCTTGCACCCCGAATCTTCATACTTTCGCCCGGCAGGCGTACTTCTAACAAACACACATTCAAACACAATTTATTTCCGACAAAAACTACACGATTTCGAAACTTATTGCACTAGGAATGCTCACCGGAGATAAATAAATCTGCTGTTTCTTTGTGAGAAGGTACCCAACCATTGCTCCTACACAGTAGGCACCGAGATGTGTGTAGGGTTGAAAGTAAATTTTTGTACAGAACTCCCACACCTCGCTAAAAGAGGGGAAAAAAACTTAAAATTAATTATTGAGTACAACCGCTGTTTTCATAAACATAGATGCTGATATTGTATTCATTCTTTAAATGTTTGATTTTATTACAAATATTAAGGAATGACAACCGTTTCTTTTAATGTTCAATATGCAAAATGGACGACTTCTCACCTTTGTGTCCTAACATTACTGGGACTTTGAATTACCCCACTTGAATGATAAAATAACACATTATTGTGTCTAGAAGATTTGAGTAATTTACACATTGCTACAACATCACTTTGTACCAGCTTATTCTTCACTCACTCGGTTGTTGGAAGTCCGTACAACCTGGTGGCAGGATAGCCGTAGAATTCAGTTATGGCTCCTGTAATCACCATGGAAGATAGAATTAGAGTTGCGGTGATGAGCAACCCACGAGCAGTAGATCTATGAAGAGAAGTCAAACATGACCTCAGTTATTCTTCATGACGGTGGATTGAAACCTAATGATATGTACTGCATGCATATTGAGTAATTTGATGATTTTTAGTGTAAACAACTAATAAGAAAAATTGAGCGTAATCACTCGTTCTCTCTGTAAAATACATTGAAAACCAACAGTAGTTAGTGGGATTTATTGCTATATTAGTGGTATTTTTGTTGGATTTTTTTATATGGTTTATATATTATTAGAGATTTTGTAACTAATACAGTCACAGTCATACAAGTAATTTGGTTCATTATGAATTTAGAAAAAATGTGTTTCAAAAACATATGGGCTCTACTGATAATTATATGGATAATTATACATTATATTACTAACATATTTCATTTTATTTCCAACTCTTCTGAGATTTATATTAAACCACAAATTAGTAACTTAAAACTGAATGTATATATCGTGGTATAAACCATTAGCGATAAGTTTAGAATGAAACGTATTATAACTTGTTTTATTTCATCTCACTATTGAACTTGCCTGTGTTAACAGTAATTCATAATTACGTTTTCAATAAAGCTATTATTTTAAAGTGCTTTATATGATTGAAATGCGGGTTTTACCAATACATACGCTTACCTCATCAATGGTACAAGGATTAATAAGGACAGGATATGGAACTGAAAGTCGTTTGGAAGATACCAGGTGTAGTTCAAGCACTGGAAAAAATTGTAAAATGTTGGATCATTCTGTCTAATATAATTTGATGTGGTGAAATAGTAGTTTAGACTCGTGAATAACTCTAAATATCATAGTATGTATTTTGTCTTGTCAAATTCTGTTTTTCACTATATCGAGTTTCTCATGATCTCTTATTCTTGCTTTCTGTTCGTTAAAACTGTTAAATAGCTTCGAAATGTTCAGTAGTCTTGTCTTACACATACTTAAAGATGACATTTCCTTTGACCAGGTTGTTTATTATTTGCGCAAGGCTAGTCGTCACTAATTTTGAACTGATATAATTGAGGGAAGTCAGCTAGTCAACAGCATCTAACACCAACTCGTGTGTGACTGAATAATGGGATTTTACCGTCATCTTTATATTCTACCCACGGTCCTAAAGTATGGAGTGCAATTATTATTATTATATTTTTGTCGGTAACGGAACGTGAACAAAGGTCCCGCAGATCCATAGTTCGGCACGTTAATCCCTGGGTCATGCTCGGTCTCAAGTATTTATATGTCTAACTGTCAATTTCGACTTAATACTCTTGAACAAACCATACAGTGTAAATTTCGAATGTATTAAACTAAAATAAAATTATTTCAGGAGGATTGCTCTGTAAGTTGAATCATGGAGCAAAATCTACTCTTTTAAAAATACAGGGATTGTGTTTTCATTTATCGTAGAAGTATAACGTCTTCTTTACTTACCGCCCCCCCCCCCAGTGGTACAGCGGTATGTTTGCGGACTTATATCGATAGAAATTGGGTTTCGATACCCGTGGTGGGCAGAGCACAGATAGCCCATTGTGTAGCTTTGTGCTTAACTAGAAATAAAACAAATAAATCAATCTTTACTTACCACGTTTCTTGATGTCAAAAAGTTGTTGATGAACAGCATGTTAGTCCACCAGTACTTCCGGCAACCTTCCACCACGTGATCAATTCCTTCGTGCCACAATGGACCAGATCCCAATAGTGGGATTAACATTGTGAGACAGATAGTGAAGGCAAGAGGTGGAGCAAGCCTTGAAACAACATTGACAGCTTACTAGGTGGTAGCTCGATAGAACGGATATAAGTATTTTCTCTTTTTAGAATAAGTTGTTGTTTTAGACAATTTGTAAATAAATGACCTTTATTTCAAGTTGAGATTTTATTCATTTATTTTCCCGCATTGCCGGACTTCAATGACATATGTAACCCTTAAAAAGTTATAAAACTGAAACATAATAATCAGCCCTGTCCTTTTCCCTAGCTGGTTCAACGGTAAGTCTGAGGGGTTATCACGTTAAATATCGGATTTCGACAACCTATTGTGTAGCTTCGTGCTTAACAACAAGAACAAAACAAACGTAATCAATCCCGAAATTAGTAATCCACAAATAATTGTTTAATGTTTAAATTTCCTTATTTTGCCTAATCTTCAGGATATTCCAGTGTTAAGTATTAATCAGTTCTGAAACAAATAATTGAAGTTCGATTTTCCTTTCATGGATATGTGTTAGTTTTAATTTAGTATTCACGATTGTCAAATAACATTCAATAAATAGCCTTGAAAAGTTATGTTATTAATCCGCAAACAAATCGTTAATATTTGATTTTTCCTTTCGCTGAACATAGTTAGTTATGGCCCATTTTTTTCCAAGATTTTGAAATATTACGTTATAATTAGTCTTTAAAAATTATATATATATTACTAATGAAGAAAGTATCTTTAACATTTGGTTCTCCTTTTACTGAATGAGATACGTTTCATCCCATTTTCAAGATTTTGAAAGACTACGCTATGATTAGCCCTGAAAAGTTATGTTAACAGTTAATAAAAAAGTTTTAGATATGATTTTCCTTCCACGAAACATGACAAGTCAAACATTTTCGATTTTCATTAATTACAAAACTCTAAACATCGCAATGTTCTCTATAAATCTCTTCAAAACTAATAAAATACGAATATTTCTCTTTGCATTCGTTCAAGAAAATAAATACACTTCGGAACGTTTTGTTTTTAAGATGACAGTAGCTATAATTATTTATAATTCAAGTATTAGCTATTAACAACATAAAAAATATTTCTGTAATATAAAATAATTTTTTCAATTGGCGTCAATAATTACTATATAAGAAGTAACTGAATTATTTCATGAATGTTTCGACTTACCTCCAGTATCTATGTAACAAATAAACAGGAATATTCAGTCTCCTTTCGTTCTTCTCCAGTAATTGTAAAGTCACATAGAAGGTAAGTAAACCACTGAACAATATAAAGTAAATAATTATTATGACATAAAATGTCGCTTTTTTGGAATAACAAATAAATAATCCACCGCAAGTGATAACTCTGTCATTGAAAATATTTTTCAGTAAAGTACTAATGTATTGACACACATTTGTATTATTATTTTACCTGAGATAAAAGAACGTATCGACGGCTACAGTTCCGTTGACAATCGGCTGACACATTTGTATTATTATTTTACCTGAGATAAAAGAACGTATCGACGGCTACAGTTCCGTTGACAATCGGCTGAGACATTTGTATTATTATTTTACCTGAGATAAAAGAACGTATCGACGGCTACAGTTCCGTTGACAATCGGCTGAGACATAAATGAAGAGACGAAATCGCTTGCTAAAAAGCTGTCAGCTGTAAAAAAAAATCACGATTGATATGTTATGAAAATAAACATAATGCTGATTAGTAGTAAATAATGGTTTTCAAGAACAGATGAAATCTTCTTAAACAAATGGTATAACAAATATAAGATTTAGGCTTCCTTACTAGTACTGGTTGTTATTATAATTTAAATTATATTGCAGATTCACGATTTAGACTTCTTTACTGAGTACTGGTTGTTGTTATAACTACCTGGATAATAATAAAAATCATTTCTCACTGCTTTAAACACTTTTCAAATATATTCCCAATTAACATTTTTGTAAATACAATAGCTAAGATTAGAATATAATTTTAGCATAAAATAACTGTACGTTAGCAAATACTAACTCGTTTCATAAGTATATTTAAACCAGTAAAACTATTTATCTGTAATGATCAAACTAAAAAAATGTTTTCTTTAAGAAAATTAAGATTATAAATGACCTTTTCTAAGTTGGTGAAATTTGACATGGCCTTGCTAGATTAAGAAAAGTTTATGCAACTTAAGAGACAAATATACATATTAACACAATAATGCTGCATTTATTGGATAAGTAATTTCAAATCACAACATAAAACAATCAACAAACGCTATCTTAATAGAATGTATATGTAATCAGTCTAATATATGTATAAAAGGTACATCATTGAATAAGATACTGACAGAAGGATAATTTTATTTTTATTTCTTATCATTCACAAAATCTTTAAAAAAATTGTCCGGTTAGGTTTCAGCGCCATTTTCAAATCGCTTGGTTATATGATAAGGCTCCTGCTGTTTGTAAGACAGGTAAAATAATTATTAGATTCACAACACGAGAAGCAAAAATTTTTCAGTTGAAGATCTGTAGAGTGGAGTATGTTAAGAATGTTTGAGCAACTATGCTCCAAAGAATGCAATTAAAACCAAAACAACAAGAAGAAAATTCTCGTTTTAATGTGTGCCTGGTAATCTATTTAATGTTTCCTAAGTTAAGGATTGAACCGCAGACCGCACATAAACTTTTAAGCAGCTTACCTTTATCAGTGTTTTATGTACACGTCTTTGTGAGTTAATGCTTTACATATTGCTGATAAAATAATTTAACAGCTCACACTACGACCTTTATCAGTGTTTTATGTACTTGTCTTTGTGAGTTAATGCTTTATATATTGTTGGTAAAACTTTTTTAACAGCTCACTCTACGACCTTTATCAATGCAGTATGTACATGTATTTGTGTACGCCAATGTGGATTTTCATGAAGCCATTATTTACTTGACGTATTAAACTGATGTTTATTCCAATATAGAGAACTATTCATTAAACGTAACACAATTTGCTTCAGTTGCCTTGTGCCTCTGCCATAATATTCAAACACATAATTCTGCATCGTTATACATTTTACTGGCTAAGTCATTTAAAGTTCACATGTTAGCCGAGAATGAAATATTTTTAGGGTAACAAATCTAGGAATATTGTCGTCAGAGAACGATTGGTGTTGCTAGTTAGATAGAGCAGCGGTTCTCAAACTTTAGTAACCCGAGGGCTCCTTTTAATAAAAATTTTTGGCGGATCCCAAAAGCTATCAGTGTATTTTGTTTTGAGAAAAAGATTTAGTGTAAATGGAAAGTTGTATTCCAAAATTAAATATTCTAATTCATATCAGTTTAATTTGACGAAAAATATTTTTTTTATTCCAGAAATAATTTTTTTAAAGTATTATTTTGAAATTTCGGACACTGGGCCACGCACGGCCCCATTTTTTAATTATGTTAAATGACATAGCTTATGGTTACATACATAAACCTATTTGTTTCTTTGAATTAATTCAATACGCAAAAATCTTGGTAGAACATTAATAGTGTTCTATTTTTTTCTTTATATCCAAGTGAACAGCTCAATTTTCAGAAATATAGAGATGACCTAGTGGTTTGGGCTCTCGGCTCGCAATCTGCGGATTCGAAGGAATTTTAACGCAAAAAAAATCGATTTTTAATATTCGAGCTTGGCACAACACAAATAATTTATTGTGTGGCTTTGTGCTTCATAACAAACAAAAGCACACGCAAAATGCCACCATACAATCCGCTAATTCAATCAAACGCTAATAATATTTCGTGTAAAAATACCTAGAGTTTGAAATGATCAGTCACTTCGCTCACAGAATGGTTCGTTTTCTTTATTGACCATTATATCTACAAAATGGTGAGTGTAATGCTGTGTATTTGTATACGTATGTAGTGTGTGCGCGTGTTGCTCAGGTTTATATATAATAAGTGTGTTGAACATGTACCTCTAAAAGCGCACGGCCTTGTGACTTACATAGCATAAAAACTTCATCTAACAATTAAACTGGAAGGAGCATTACACACTAACCCAAATTAATTTGTGAAGGCGCAATTATACAAAACTCCTACCATCTACGTGGCTGGTCAGGCATCTTGAAATAGCAACTGCTTCCAGTCATTATTACTGTTCGGTGATGGGGTTAGATGAAAATTGGAAGTGTCAAAATAAAATATAGCTCTTATATTTAAAAAAATGTAGATTTAGATCTTTCGTATATATATATATATATGTATTATGTACATGACATTACATCATGGTCATATTTCAAAATGGTTCTTGGCACGCTGCCAAGGTATTAGATTAATTCAAATAATATTATAAAGTAAAAACAGATCTGGTTGAACTGAGTGACTTATGCCAATGTAAAAAGTTCGTGATAGCAGCAGAATTATCCATTAAAATGTCCCAATAAATACAGAATGCCTGACTTATCATGCTAACTACATAATATATTTACTCTTATAGGCTGTTTTTCGCGTGCAGTTAGAACAATTTACATACATAATGGTGGGTAATACCAAGTAAAAAAATAAGCGTTTGAACAAATACAAAAAAATGCTAATTCCAGATCCTTTACAATACATAATTCTTAAAGTGCGTGTAGTTAAAACATGTTTACTTGTTCACTGTGTATACCTAGAATTTAAGCGCGTTGTTAGTTAATTTGGCTCACTAATAATCAAAACTAGGTCAGATCCATGTTTTTTTTTATTCTCCTTCATCAACCTCTACAGTAATAATGACTTTATATTACAAAGCTAAAAAAAATCAGGCGCAAGAGCTATTCTGAATTTTTTTTAACAAAAAATCACACGTAGCTCAGTGGTATTTCTTTCCACAAATTGTATTTGATTTCATAAGTATGCTAATTTCTCTCCGCTAATATGATATTTATTTGTTATTAAACGAAAAGCTACGCAATTATTTATTTGTGTTTCTGCCCACCGCGGGTCTAGAAACTCAATTTTTAGCGTTGTAAACCCTCAAACTTACGGCTGAGCCATCTAGGTGTCCACTAATGTAACTTTGAAAACTTCCTATATTGTTTCATTTTTCACGAATCTAGAGTGCCCAAAAATTTGTTCATTATTCTCGAACCTTCTTTGTTGTGAGTTTATTAATCTTTAAATACCAAATATAGTTTGTCTGTACTTTAATTGATAGTATTTGTTTATATATATAACCATACAAAAAAAATGTCAGTTCTTTTAAATCCGAAAAAAATAGATTAGTGCCTGAAAACAAAAACATATACTTACTAAAAACTTGATAGTTGATAAAAAAGTATGTGTGACTCCAAATTATCCAAAGGATTGATATTAATCTGATTCCATGGAGAGCTCCAATTGTATTCCTGGCTGACTTGGTGCTAAATAGCTTCTTGCCATTTGTGTACAAAGAAAAAGTCAGTAAATAGTCTGTCGATGTGCCTACAAGGATAATAAAATAGGGGTTTCTTGAGTTTTTATTTGATTCCATACATCAAAGCATAAAGCTATTGGTTAATTTTGCAGGATCTTGAAACAAACAATATCCATCATTTTTGAGATGCTGATGAAATGCAACTATTTTTGTTGCATGTTTTTTTTTCTACTTTCTAAACTTCTATTTATATTAACCTTAAATTTTGGAATACGTTTGGAAAAGTGACTCTATAGTTTCTTAACTGCTGTATCAAAACACGTCGAGTAATATACTTACATTTCAAGATGTTCATATGTTCGTTTTTCCTATCTGATCTTCTTTGATAGATGTCTATGAAGGTGGCGAATATAACAAGACAACCAACAGCAAGGAAAATACCTCTAATAGAGGAATAAGAGAACTTAAATCATACTTCTAAAATGTATTACAATTTTATACATACAAAATTATAATTCACTGTCTTGTTATCGTATTAGGATAGTTCCAACACATTTTTGATAAACAGTTAAAAGTATAAATGTTAAGCATATCTATTGCATCAGCACAACACCTACGTAATTAAAGTTCTTATTGAAATTTTATTTTTTAAAATGTGTTTTCAGCTTTATCATTTGTTCTTTGTTTATTTCAATATGAATACACTTCTGCTCCGGGTAACATAATTATTACAGAAGAATAAAAATATAAGTTATGATAAAACTAGATATAGAAAAGATTTACAAACATTTAACTTAGTATTAAAAACTATATCCAACGCTAGAAACCGGGTTTCGATACCCGTGGT